AAATACTGACAGCCTCCCATAGAAAACGTATGACATTCTGTATTACACATGTATTAAAATACTGACAGCCTCCCATAGAGAACGTATGATATTCTGTATTATGCATGTATTAAAATACTGACAGCCTCCCATAGAGAACGTATGATATTCTGTATATGCATGTATTAAAATACTGACAGCCTTCCATAGAGAACGTATGACATTCTGCATTACGCATGTATTAAAATACTGACAGCCTCCCATAGAGAACGTATGATATTCTGTAATATGCATGTATTAAAATACTGACAGCCTTCCATAGAGAACGTATGACATTCTGCATTACGCATGTATTAAAATACTGACAGCCTCCCATAGAGAACGTATGATATTCTGTATTATGCATGTATTAAAATACTGACAGCCTCCCATAGAGAACGTATGATATTCTGTATTATGCATGTACTAAAATACTGACAGCCTTCCATAGAGAACGTATGATATTCTGTAATATGCATGTATTAAAATACTGACAGCCTCCCATAGAGAACGTATGATATTCTGTATCATGCATGTATTAAAATACTGACAGCCTCCCATAGAGAACGTATGACATTCTGTATTATGCATGTAATAAAATACTGACAGCCTCCCATAGAGAACGTACGATATTCTGTAATACGCATGTATTAAAATACTGACAACCTCCCTTAGAGAACATATGATATTATGTAATATGCATGTATTAAAATACTGACAGCCTCCCATAGAGAACGTTATGATATTCTGTAATATGCATGTATTAAAATACTGACAACCTTCCATAGAAAACGTATGACATTCTGCATTACGCATGTATTAAAATACTGACAGCCTCCCATAGAAAACATATATTATGTATTAAAATACTGACAGCCTCCCATAGAAAACGTATGACATTCTGTATTACACATGTATTAAAATACTGACAGCCTCCCATAGAGAACGTATGATATTCTGTAATATGCATGTATTAAAATACTGACAGCCTCCCATAGAAAACGTATGACATTCTGTATTACACATGTATTAAAATACTGACAGCCTCCCATAGAGAACGTATGATATTCTGTAATATGCATGTATTAAAATACTGACAGCCTCCCATAGAGAACGTATGATATTCTGTAATATGCATGTATTAAAATACTGACAGCCTCCCATAGAAAACATATATTATGTATTAAAATACTGACAGCCTCCCATAGAGAACATATGATATTCTGTATTACACATGTATTAAAATACTGACAGCCTGCCATAGAGAACGTATGATATTCTGTAATATGCATGTATTAAAATACTGACAGCCTCCCATCGAGAACGTATGATATTCTGTAATATGCATGTATTAAAATACTGACAGCCTCCCATAGAGAACGTATGATATTCTGTAATATGCATGTATTA